GGGGACATTGGGGGGGTTGAAAGGGGTGTGAGTGATTTTGGGGGGTCCCAAAGCCTTGGGGGGGATCTGGGGGACACCCGGGGGGTTGAAAGGGGGTGCGAGTGATTTTGGGGTGTCCCAAAGCCTTGGGGGGGGGTTGGAGGAAACCCGGGGGGGTTGGGGGGTGTGACAGTGATTTTGGGGTGTCCCAAAGCCTTGGGGGGGATTTGGGGGGACACTGGGGCGTTTGAAAGGGGTGCGAATGATTCTGTGGGGGTCCCAACGCCTTGGGGGGGATCTGGGGGGAGTTTGGGGGTGTATAAGAGATTTTGGGGGGTCCCAAAGCCTTGGGGGGGATCTGGGGGGAGTTTGGGGGTGTATAAGAGATTTTGGGGGGTCCCAAAGCCCTGGGGGGGATCTGGGGGACATTGAGGGGTCTGGGAGGGTGAGAGTGATTTTGGGGGGTCCCAAAGCCTTGGGGGGGATTTGGGGGAAACCCGGGGGGAGTTTGGGGGTGTATGAGAGATTTTGGGGGGTCCCAAAGCCTTGGGGGGGATTTGGGGGACACCCGGGGGGTCCGGGAGGGGTGAGAGTGATTTTGGGGGGTCCCAAAGCCTTGGGGGGGGATCCGGGGGGATCCAGCAGAGTTTGGGGTCTCTGGGGGGTTATTAAGGGTTTGGGGGCGGGGGGGGGGGGGGGGGGCTGTGTGGGGTCCCCAAGGCATTGAGGGGGTTTCCAAACCCCCCATAAACCCCCATCACTCTGTGACCCCCCAGACCCCATAAACCCCCCGAATCCCCATCACTCTTTGGCCCCCCCTTCCCCCTTTACCCCATAAAAGCCCCACAAACCCCCATTGCTCTTTGACCCACCCCATAAACCCCCCAAAATCCCCATCACTCTTTGACCCCCATTTCCCCCCTTAACCCCCATAAACCCCCATAAACCCCCACAAACCCCCATTGCTCTTTGACCCCCCCAGACCCCATAAACCCCCAAAATCCCCATCACTCTTTGACCCCCCCCATTTCCCCCTTAACCCCATAAATCCCCCAAAATCCCCATCACTCTCTGACCCCCCCCATCCCATAAACCTCCCAAATCCCCATCACTCTTTGACCCCCCCTTTCCCCCTTAATCCCATAAAACCCCATAAACCCCCATAAAGCCCCACAAACCCCCATTGCTCTTTGACCCCCCCAGACCCCATAAACCCCCCAAAATCCCCATCACTCCTTGACCCCCCCTTTCCCCCTTAACCCCATAAAACCACATAAACCCCTAAAACCCCCTTAAACCCCCCAAAATCCCCATCACCCTTTAACCCCCCCACACCCCATAAACCCCCCAAAATCCCCATCACTCTTTGACCCCCATTTCCCCCCTTAACCCCATAAAACCACATAAACCCCTAAAACCCCCTTAAACCCCCCAAAATCCCCATCACTCTTTGACCCCCCCTTTCCCCCTTAACCCCATAAAACCCCCTAAACCCCCATTGCCCTTTAACCCCCCCAAACCCCCCAAAACCCCTCGACCCCCCCAAAACCTTCCCCCCAACCCCATCTCCTCCAACCCCTCGGGAAGAACAAAACCTCCTTTATTCCTTTATTTCTCCGGGAATAAAACCCTTCCCAAGGCCCAGCGGGATGCAGAGGGGGGGGATGAGCCCCCCCGGGGGGTCTGTGGGGACCCCAAAAGCTCAGGGGGTCCGACACCTGACCCCAAAACCTCAGGGGGGTCTGTGGGGACCCCAGAAGCTCAGAGGGGTCTGTGGGGACCCCAAAAGCTCAGGGGGTCCAACACCTGACCCCAAATCTCAGGGGGGTCTTGGGGGACCCCGAAATCACAGGGGGAATCTGGCACCTGACCCCAAATGTCAGGGGGGTCTGTGGGGACCCCAAATATCAGGGGGGGTCTGGCACTTGACCCCAAATGTCAGGGGGGTCTGTGGGGACCCCAGAATCTCAGAGGGTCCGGCACCTGACCCCAAAAGCTCAGGGGGGTCCGTGAGGACCCCAAAAGCTCAGGGGGGTCCGTGGGGACCCCAAATGCCAGGGGGGTCTGTGGGGACCCCAAAAGCTCAGAGGGTCCGGCACCTGACCCCAAAAGCTCAGGGGGGTCTGTGGGGACCGCAAAAGCTCAGGGGGGTCCGGCACCTGACCCCAAACATCAGGAGAGTCTGTGGGGACCCCAAAAGCTCAGGGGGGTCCGTGGGGACCCCAAAAGCTCAGAGGTGTCTGGCACCTGACCCCAAATGTCAGGGGGTCCGTGGGGACCCCAAATGTCAGAGGGGTCTGGCACCTGATCCCAAATGTCAGGGGGGTCTGTGGGCACCCCAAAAGCTCAGGGGGTCTGGCACCTGACCCCAAAAGCTCAGGGGGGTCTGTGGGGACCCCAAATGTCAGGGGGGTCTGTGGGGATCCCAAAATCTCAGAGGGTCCGGCACCTGACCCCAAATCTCAGAGGGGTCCGTGGGGACCCCAAATCTCAGGGGGGTCTGGCACCTGACCCCAAATGTCAGGGGGGTCTGTGGGGACCCCAAAAGCTCAGGGGGGTCTGTGGGGATCCCAAATGTCAGGGGGGTCTGTGGGGACCCCAAAAGCTCAGGGGGTCTGGCACCTGACCTCAAAAGCTCAGGGGGGGGTCTGTGGGGACCCCAAATCTCAGGGGGTTTGACACCTGACCCCAAATGTCAGGGGGTCTGTGGGCACCCCAAAAGCTCAGAGGGGTCTGGCACCTGACCCCAAATGTCAGGGTGGTCTGTGGGGACCCCAAAAGCTCAGAGGGGTCTGTGGGGACCCCAAAAGCTCAGAGGGGTCTGGCACCTGACCCCAAATGTCAGGGTGGTCTGTGGGGACCCCAAAAGCTCAGAGGGGTCTGTGGGGACCCCAAAAGCTCAGGGGGTCCGGCACCTGACCCCAAATGTCAGGGGGGTCCGGCAGCTGACCCCAAAAGCTCAGGGGGTCCGGCACCTGACCCCAAAATCTCAGGGGGTCCGACACCTGACCCCAAAATGTCAGGGGGTCCGACACCTGACCCCAAAATGTCAGGGGGTCCGACACCTGACCCCAAAATGTCAGGGGGTCCGACACCTGACCCCCGCGTCCTCGGCGTGCCCGCAGTTGGTCCGTCCCCATCCCGAAAAGCTGCAGAGCTCCAGGGAATCCTCGGAGCCCGTGCAGGAAACGTCGTCCATCCAGATCCTGCCGGAGCCTGAGGGGGACAGGGAATGCCGGGATAGACATGGGAATGCACGGGAATACACGGGAATACACAGGGAATGCCGGGATAGACATGGGAATGCAGGGATACACGGGAATACACAGGGAATGCCGGGATAGACATGGGAATGCACGGGCATACACACAGGGATAGACAGGGACACCCTGAGGGGCTGGGCTGGAATTCCCAGAGAAGCTGTGGCTGCCCCTGGATCCCTGGGAGTGTCCAAGGATGGGTTGGATTCCCTGGGATAGTGGGAGGTGTCCCTGAACATGGAATGGGATGGTCCTTAAAGTCCCTTCCCACCCAAACTGTTCCAGGTTAAAGGACACTCAGAATCCAGGCAGAGGGATTTTTCTGGAATGTGGGGATGGAAAAGGCAGGAAAGGGGAAGGGAGACCCTGCCCTGAGTGCCGAGATTCCCAGGGAACCCCCTTGTTCCCGGAACTCCTTCCCAGGGAGGAGCTGGGCTGGGGCTGGATCCAATGGCAGGCTCCGGCTCCAGGCTGGGAGAGCTGGGAATGGCCAGGCTGGAGAAGGGAAGGATCCCGGGAGAGCTTGGAGCACATTCCAGAGGCTGAAGGGGCTCCAGGAGAGCTGGAGAGGGCCTGGGGCTCAGGGCCTGGAATGCCAGGCCCCAGGGAATGGATCCCAGTGGGAAAGGGGAGATTTGGGGGGGCGATTGGGAAGGGATTCCTGGCTGGGAGGGTGGGGAGGGGCTGGGCTGGAATTCCCAGAGAAGCTGGGGCTGCCCCTGGATCCCTGGGAGTGTCCCAGGCCGGGTTGGATTCCCTGGGACAGCGGGAAGTGTCCCTGTTCCAGCTGGACCTGGATGAGCTTTGCGGTCCCTTCCCACCCAAACCATTCCCAGGATCCACCCAAACTGTGGCATTCCCGGGATGAGGACACCCCGGGACCAAACCACCCCCGTCCCGGATCCCTGGGAACATCCCAGGCCGGGTTGGCCAATCCCTCTCCCGGCACCTCCCGGATCCCACCCCGCGGCCTTTCCCCGTTCCCCTGGGGAGCCATCCCGGCGTTTCCCCGGGGTCGATTCCCACCTTGCCCGAAGCGGGCCATGCGGAAGACGTCGTCGGCTCCGGGGTATCCCAGGGCCCGGCACACGACGGCTCCGTCGGGGCCGTCCCAGCCGTCGTCGCAGACGGTGCCCCAGCGGCCCCCGTGCAGGATCTCCACGCGCCCCTCGTGCGGCCCCGAACCGTTCACCAGCCGCAGGGAGCCTTCCTCGGGACCTGCCGGGACACGCCGGGATGGGAGGGAATCCCCAGGGACACACCGGGATGGGAGGGAATTCCCAGGGACACATCGGGATGGGAGGGAATCCCCGGGATGGGAGGGAATTCCCAGGGACACACCGGGATGGGAGGGACTCCCCAGGGACATCCCGGGATGGGAGGGACTCCCCAGGGACGCACCGGGATGGGAGGGAATCCCCAGGGACACACCGGGATGGGAGGGAATCCCCGGGATGGGAGGGAATTCCCAGGGATACACCGGGATGGGAGGGACTCCCCAGGGACATCCCGGGATGGGAGGGAATCCCCAGGGACACACCGGGATGGGAGGGAATCCCCAGGGACACATCGGGATGGGAGGGAATCCCCAGGGACACACCGGGATGGGAGGGAATTCCCAGGGACACACCGGGATGGGAAGGACTCCCCAGGGATATCCCGGGAACGCCGGCATGGCCACGGGGCGGGAATGGGCAACGGCAGGTGGGAATGTTCGACGGAGGGTGGGAATGGCCAAGAGTTGGGTTTGTCCAAGAGTTGGGTGTGTCCAAGAGTTGGGTGTGTCCAGCAGAGCTTGGGAATGTCCAACAACAGTTGGGAATGTCAAGCAGTGGGTGGGAATGTCCAAGAGTTGGGTTTGTCCAAGAGTGGGTGGGAATGTCCAAGAGTTGGGTGAGTCCAAGAGTTGATTTTGTCCAACAGGGCTTGGGAATGTCCACGAGTTGGGTTTGTCCAAGAGTGACTGGGAATGTCCTACAGTGGGTGGGAATGTCCAAGAGTTGGGTGCATCCAAGAGTTGGGTTTGTCCAAGAGTTGGGTGCATCCAAGAGTTGGGTATGTCCAGCAGAGCTTGGGAATGTCCAACAACAGTTGGGAATGTCAAGCAGTGGGTGGGAATGTCCAAGAGTTGGGTTTGTTCAAGAGTTGGGTTTGTCCAACGGAGCTTGGGAATGTCCAAGAGTGGGTGGGAATGTCCATCTGAAGGTGGGAATGTCCAGCAATGACTGGGAATGTCCAAGAGTTGGGTTTGTCCAAGAGTGGGTGGGAATGTCCAAGGGTGGGTGGGAATGTCCAAGAGTTGGGTTTGTCCAAGAGTTGGGTTTGTCCAAGAGTTGGGTGGGAATGTCCAACAGAGCTTGGGAATGTCCAAAAACAGTCGGGAATGTCCAGGAGAGGGTGGGAATGTCCAACTGTGTTTGGGAATGTCCAACAGTGGCTGGGAATGTCCAAGACTGGGTGGGAATGTCCAACAGGGGGTGGGATTGTCCCGCTCTGGGTGGGAATGTCCAGCCCTGGGTGTTCCATCCCGCTCGGACAGGACCTGGAGCGACCCGGGATAACGGCAGGGTCCCGAAATGTCCCGTTAACCCCAAAGCTCCCTCCGGGAGCTTTGGGGTTAACGGGACATTTCGGGACCCTGCCAGGACCTCCCTGTTCCAGAATCCGACTGTTCCCTGGCTCCTTCCCAGCAGGCATGGGGCCACCTCTCCCGGCGTTCCGGAACACCCTGTCCTTCCCTGACCTCGGCTCCGACCCTCCTCCGACCTCGGATCCCCCCCTTCCAGGCCCAACCGGAGCCTGGAAACCCCCGGGGCGTGTCCTCCTGGATCCGGGAGAACGCGGAGTTCTCCCAGCTGGAAAACATCCCGGGAGTCCCTGGAGCTTCTCCCGGATTTTGTCGGATCTGGGTGGAGCCGCTCCGGGATGATTCCCGCTGCCCTCTCCTCCTCCCATCCCCGTTCCCGAGGGTGGGAATGTCCCCTCCCAGCCTCCGGAGCAGCTGCCTTGGCTCATTCCAAGCCCGGAGTCATCCGAGGGCGGGAAGGGCCGGACCCGCGCTCCCGGAGCTCCGGAGATTTCCTGGAGCTGCTCCTGCCAAAGCCGGGCCTGGGAAGGATCCAAGCCCTGGCGTGTCCTGCTGGGACTCAGCCAGACCTCCCTGCTCCGGGAGAGTGGGATGCAGCCAAGGAAAACTGGGATCTCATCCAGGGAAACTCGGGATCCAGCTCTGCTCCTCCACTCTGCTCGAGGTGACAAACCAGTGTCACCTTCCAAAGTATTCCAGGATCCTTCCCTGTTTTCCCGGCTCCAGGAAGCTCCATGGCTTTGGGATCATTGTCCATCCAGCCCCCTGGAGCATCCCAGAGCAGGGATGTGTCCAAGGAAAACTGGGATAAAATCCAGGGAAATCTGACACTTCACTTCTCCACTCGAGGTGACAAACCAGTGTCACCTTCCCAAGTGTTCCATGATCCTTCCCTGTTTTCCCGGCTCCAGGGAACTCCATGGCTTTGGGATCATTGTCCCCCTGGCCCCTGGAGCATCCCAGAGCAGGGATGTGTCCAAGGAAAACCGGGATAAAATCCAGGGAAATCTGACACTTCACTTCTCCACTCGAGGTGACAAACCAGTGTCACCTTCCCAAGTATTCCAGGACCATTCCCTGCCTGTTTTCCTGGCTCCAGGGAACTCCATGGCTTTGGGATCATTGTCCCTTTGGCCCCTGGAGCATCCCAGGGCAGGGATGTGTCCAAGGAAAACCAGGATCCCATCCAGGGAAACCCGGGATCCAGCTCTTCTCCTCCACTCGAGGTGACAAACCAGTGTCACCTTCCTGGCTCCAAGACCATTCCCTGCCTGTTTTCCCTGCTCCAGGGAACTCCATGGTTTTGGGATCATTGTCCCTCTGCCCCCTGGAGCATCCCAGGGCAGGGATGTGTCCAAGGAAAACCGGGATAAAATCCAGGGAAATCTGACACTTCACTTCTCCGCTCGAGGTGACAAACCAGTGTCACCTTCCCAAGTATTCCAGGACCATTCCCTGCCTGTTTTCCCGGCTCCACGGAACTCCATGGCTTTGGGATCATTGTCCCCCTGGCCCCTGGAGCATCCCAGAGCAGGGATGTGTCCAAGGAAAACCAGGATCCCATCCAGGGAAACCTGGGATCCAGCTCTTCCCTCCACTCAAGGTGACAAACCAGCGTCACCTTCCCAAGTGTTCCAGGATCCTTCCCTGTTTTCCCGGCTCCAGGAAGCTCCATGGCTTTGGGATCATTGTCCATCCAGCCCCCTGGAGCATCCCAGAGCAGGAATGTGTCCAAGGAAAACCGGGATAAAATCCAGGGAAATCTGACACTTCCTTTCACCGCTCGAGGTGACAAACCAGTGTCACCTTCCCAAGTATTCCAGGACCATTCCCTGCCTGTTTTCCCAGCTCCAGGAATTCCATGGCTTTGGGATCATTGTCCCTCCTGCCCCCTGGAGCATCCCAGGGACATCCAGGAAATCCCAGGGACATCCCTGCTTGGGAACATCCCTCCTGCTTTTCCAGGGATATCGTTCCTTGGGATCATCCCTCCTGCTTTTCCAGGGATATCATCCCTTGGGAACATCCCTCCTGCTTTTCCAGGGATATCCCTGCTTGGGAACATCCCTCCTGCTTTTCCAGGGATATCGTTCCTTGGGATCATCCCTCCTGCTTTTCCAGGGATATCGTTCCTTGGGATCATCCCTCCTGCTTTTCCAGGGATATCATTCCTGCTTTTCCAGGGACACCCCTCCTGGAGGGATATTCCCAAGGAATGATATCCCTGGAAAAGCAGGAGGGATGTTCCCAAGGAACGATATCCCTGGAAAAGCAGGAGGGATGATCCCAAGGAACGATATCCCTGGAAAAGCAGGAGGGATGTTCCCAAGGAACGATATCCCTGGAAAAGCAGGAGGGATGATCCCAAGGAATGATATCCCTGGAAAAGCAGGAGGGATGTTCCCAAGGAACGATATCCCTGGAAAAGCAGGAGGGATGATCCCAAGGAATGATATCCCTGGAAAAGCAGGAGGGATGTTCCTGCCGTTCCAAGGGGAATGTCCCCAAGCAGGAATCCCCCTGGAATTTCCTGGGTGTTCCCCAAGGAATGATGTCCCAACCTTCCAGGAATCTTCCAGCCCCTCCAACCCTCTTCCCTGGAGAATTCCCGCTTTTTTCCCGCTGCCCAACCCCTCCCCCTTCCCACCTTTTCCACCCCCTTCCCCGGGGCAGGAAAACCCCGGGATACACCTCGGGAATGTCGGGATGCTGCTTCCCTGCCCTCCTGGCGTCAGGAATTTCCCGATCCCGCCTAAATCTTCCCAAAATTCCCGCCTGGAACTCACCTTTTCCAGCGGCTCCACCTCGATCCCCCTTTTCCCCCTTCGGGCCTCGCTCCCCTGGGAATACAATAATAATAATAATAATAATAATAATAATAATAATAATAATAATAATAATAATAATAATAATAATAATAATAATAATAATAACAACAATAATAATAATAATAATAATAAAAATATTATAATAAATAAATAATAAAATGTGATAATAACAAATAAAAATATAATAATAAATAAGAAATAAAATAAATAATAAATAAATAATAAATAAAATAAATAATAAATAAAAAATAAAAATAAAAATGATTATAATTAAAAAATAAAAGAGGACAATAATAAATAAAAATGTAATAATAAATAATAAATAAATAATAAAAGGTGATAACAATAAATAAAAATGTTATAATAAATAATAAATAATAAAATATTATAATAAAAAATAAATAATAAAAGAAAATAATAATAAATAAATACAAATATATTAATAAATAACAAATAAAAACATAATATTAATAAATAAATAATAAATAAAATTAATATTAATAAATAAATAATAAATAAAATTAATAATAAATAATAAATAATAAATGATTATAATAAAAATAAAAATAAAAGAGGATAATAATAAATAAAAATGTAATATTAAATTAAAAATAAAAAGGATAATAATAAATAAATAATAAATAAAATAAATAATAAATTAAAAAAGGATGATGATCATAAATAAAATATAATAATAAATAGAAAATAAAAAATAAAAGATTATAGTAATAAATAAAAATAAAAGATGATAATAATAAATAAAATAAATAATAAATAATAAATAATAAATAATAAATAATAAATATAAATAATAAATAATAAATAAAAGATGATGATCATAAATAAAATATAATAATAAATAGAAAATAAAAAGTAAAAGATTAAAATAAAAAATAAAAATAAAAGAGGATAATAATAAAAATGTAATAATAAATAATAAATAAAAAGGATAATATTAATAAATAAATAATAAATAAAATAAATAATAAATAAAAAATGAAATATAAAAGATGATCATAAATAAAATATAATAATAAATAGAAAATAAAAATAAAATATTATAATAGATAAAAATATGATAATAATAAATAAATAAATAATAAATAAAATAAATAATAAATAAAAAATAAAAAATAAAAGATGATTATAATAAATAAAATATAATAATAAATAATAAATAAAAGATAATAATAATAAAAATAAAAAAAAATAAAAGGTTATAATAAAAATAATAAATAAAGGATGAAAATAAAAATAAAAATATAATAATAATAATAATAATAATAATAATAATAATAATAATAATAATAATAATAATAATAATAAAGGATAAAATCCTGTGTAACCCAGGAATGTTCCCAGGGAAGGAGCCGCTCCCATTCCCGCTATTCCCAGATATTCCAGGGGCTTCCCAAGCCCCCCAATCCCACTCCCATGATGATCCCGGGGGTCTCCAGAGGTTTTCCTTCCCTTTGGATCCCCTCATTCCGGGATCCCTATGGACGGCAGCACATCCCAAACCCGATCTTGGAATGTTCCCGGGGAAGGAGCTGCTCCCATTCCCACTATTCCCCGATATTCCAGGGGCTTCCCAAGCCCCCCAATCCCACTCCCATGAGTATCCTGGGGGTCTCCAGAGGCAATTCCCTGCCCGGATCCCGGCTGGAAGTGCTCCTTCCCTTTGGATCCCCTCATTCCTGGATCCCTGGGGATGGCAGCACATCCCAAACCTGATCTTGGAATATTCCTATGGAAGGAGCAGCTCCCATTCCCGCTATTCCCGGAGATCCCGGGGCTTCCCAAGACCCCCAGTCCCACTCCCACAAGCATTCCAGGGGTCTCCAGAGGTTTTCCTTCCCTTTGGATTCCCTCATTCCCGGATCCCTGGGGATGGCAGCACATCCCAAACCCGATCTTGGAATGTTCCCGGGGAAGGAGCCGCTCCCATTCCCGCTATTCCCGGAGATCCCGGGGCTTCCCAAACCCCCCAATCCCATTCCCACGACCATCCCAAAGATTTCCAGAGATTATTCCCTACCTTTGGCTCCCGTCATTCCCGGCGGGCCGGGCGGGCCCGGCTCTCCCGGCTCCCCCTTCAATCCCGGCCTCCCCCTTTCCCCGGGAAAACCTGCAACGAGCCCAACAGTCCAGCAAAGGCGGGGCGCCCGAAACCGGGAGAGGCTCCTGACATTCCCCAACTTATTTCGGGGATAAATCTGGGATATTTCTGGGATAAATTTGGGATATTTCTGGGATAAAATAGGGATATTTCTGGGATAAATTTGGGATATTTCTGGGATAAATTGGGATATTTCTGGGATAAATTTGGGATATTTCTGGGATAAAGTTTGGATATTTCTGGGATAAATTTGGATATTTCTGGGATAAAGGGTTGGATATTTCTGGGATAAATTTGGGATATTTCTGGGATAAAGGGTTGGATATTTATGGATAAAGGGCTGGATATTTTTGGGATAAATTGGGATATTTCTGGGATAAATTGGGATATTTCTGGGATAAAGGGTTGGATATTTATGGATAAAGGGTTGGACATTTCTGGGATAAAATTGGGATATTTCTGGGATAAAGGGCTGGATATTTCTGGGGTAAAGGGTTGGATTTTTATGGGATAAAGGGTTGGATATTTCTGGGATAAAGGGTTGGATATTTCTGGGATAAAATTTGGATATTTCTGGGATAAAGGGTTGGATATTTCTGGGATAAAGGGCTGGATTTTTATGGGATAAAATTGGGATATTTCTGGGATAAATTTGGGATATTTCTGGGATAAAGGGTTGGATTTTTGGGATAAAAGTTGGATATTTCTGGGATAAAGGGTTGGATTTTTATGGGATAAAGTTGGATATTTCTGGGATAAAATTGGGATATTTCTGGGATAAAATTGGGATATTTCTGGGATAAAGGGCTGGATATTTCTGGGATAAAATTGGGATATTTCTGGGATAAAGGGCTGGATATTTCTGGGATAAATTTGGGATATTTCTGGGATAAAGGGTTGGATATTTCTGGGATAAATTTGGGATATTTCTGGGATAATTTGGGATATTTCTGGGATAAAGGGTTGGATATTTCTGGGATAAATTGGGATATTTCTGGGATAAAGGGCTGGATATTTCTGGGATAAAAGTTGGATATTTTTGGGATAAAGGGTTGGATATTTCTGGGATAAATTTGGGATATTTCTGGGATAAATTGGGCTTATTTCTGGGATAAATGGGTATTTCTGGGATAAATGTGGATATTATTTTGGGATAATAAAGGGTTTGTATATTTTGGGATTAAGGGCTGGCTATTTCTGGGCAAAATTGGGATTTTTGGGATTAAAATTGGATCTTTCTGGGATAACAGGGCTGGATATTTCTGGGATATAAAGGGCTGGATTGTTTTCTGGGATAAAATGGATATTTCTGGGATAAATTTGGGATATTTCTGGGATAAAGGGGGCTCTTTCTGGGATAAACGTGGATATTTTGGGATAAAATTTGTATTCTGGGCTAAAGGGTTGGCTATTTCTGGGATAAGGGCGGATTATTATGGGATAAAATGGGCTATTTCTGGGATAAAGGGTGGATTTTTATGGGATCAGGGTTGGGTATTCTGGGATAAAATTGGGATATTCTGGGATAAAGGGTTGGATATTTCTGGGATAAATTTGGATATTTCTGGGATAAAGGGTTGGATATTTCTGGGATAAATTTGGGATATTTCTGGGATAAATTTGGATATTTTTGGGATAAAGGGTTGGATATTTCTGGGATAAAATTGGGATATTTCTGGGGTAAAGGGTTGGATTTTTATGGGATAAAGGGCTGGGTATTTATGGATAAAGGGCTGGATATTTCTGGGATAAAATTGGGATATTTCTGGGATAAAAGTGGGATATTTTTGGGATGAAGGGTTGGATATTTCTGGGATAAATTTGGGATATTTCTGGGATAAAGGGTTGGATATTTCTGGGATAAATTTGGGATATTTCTGGGATAAAGGGTTGGATATTTCTGGGATAAATTTGGGATATTTCTGGGATAAAGGGTTGGATATTTATGGATAAAGGGGTGGATATTTCTGGGATAAAGGGGTGGATATTTCTGGGAAAAATGTTGGATATTTCTGGGATAAAGGGTTGGATATTTGTGGGATAAAATTGGGATATTTCTGGGATACAGGGTTGGATTTTTATGGGATAAAAGAGGGATATTTCTGGGATAAAGGGCTGGATATTTCTGGGATAAAATTGGGATATTTCTGGGATAAAAGTGGGATATTTTTGGGATGAAGGGTTGGATATTTCTGGGATAAATTTGGGGTATTTCTGGGATAAAGGGTTGGATATTTCTGGGATAAATTTGGATATTTATGGGATAAAGGGTTGGATATTTCTGGGATAAATTTGGGGTATTTCTGGGATAAAGGGTTGGATATTTCTGGGATAAAGGGTTGGATATTTCTGGGATAAAAGTTGGATATTTTTGGGATAAAGGGTTGGATATTTATGGGATAAATTGGGATATTTCTGGGATAAAGGGTTGGATTTTTATGGGATAAAGGGTTGGATATTTATGGATAAAGGGGTGGATATTTCTGGGATAAAAGTTGGATATTTCTGGGATAAAATTGGATATTTCTGGGATAAAGGGTTGGATATTTCTGGGATAAAATTGGGATATTTCTGGGATAAAGGGCTGGATATTTCTGGGATAAAGGGTTGGATATTTATGGGATAAATTGGGATATTTCTGGGATAAAATTGGGATATTTCTGGGATAAAGGGTTGGATATTTCTGGGATAAAGGGCTGGATATTTCTGGGATAAAGGGTTGGATATTTCTGGGATAAATGTTGGATATTTCTGGGATAAAATTGGGATATTTCTGGGATAAAGGGTTGGATTTTTATGGGATAAAGGGTTGGGTATTTCTGGGATAAAATTGGGATATTTCTGGGATAAAGGGTTGGATATTTCTGGGATAAATTTGGGATATTTCTGGGATAAAATTGGGTATTTCTGGGATAAAGGGCTGGATATTTCTGGGATAAATTGGGATATTTATGGATAAAGGGTTGGATATTTCTGGGATAAAGGGTTGGATATTTCTGGGATAAAATTGGGATATTTCTGGGATAAATTTGGGATATTTCTGGGATAAAGGGTTGGATATTTCTGGGATAAAGGGTTGGATATTTCTGGGATAAAATTGGGATATTTCTGGGATAAATGTTGGATATTTCTGGGATAAAGGGTTGGATATTTCTGGGATAAAGGGCTGGAATATTTCTGGGATAAAGGGCTGGGATATTTCTGGATATTATTTTTCCCCCCGGCTCGCTCTGGGAGTGGATTTTGGGCGGAGTTCTGTGGGATTGGGGGATTCGGGAGGAGTTTCCCTCACCTCTGGGCCCGGGAATTCCGGGCAGTCCCGGCTCTCCTTCCAGCCCTTCGTTCCCGGGGTCCCCTTTGGGCCCGGGAGGCCCTGGAAAAAAGATAATTAGAACTAGGGAATTATAGAATAATTTTAATTTAACAATAATTCCAATTTGGGACCCTCTATAATTATATAATGATTATAATTATATAATAATTCTAATTTGTGTCCTTACATAATTATGTAATAATTCTAATTATATAGTAATTATTATATAATTACTATATATATATATTATATATATATATTACCATATATATATATCGTAAGATATATCGTAAGATATATATGACTATAGCTGATAGTAATAGATATATATCATAGTAATAAAAGAATATATTATGATATTGATATGATCTATAATAGACTTCATGTTGATATTATATTATGATAAATATAATTAAGTGGATATTATTATATAAATATTAGATACTCTATATAGGATTATATATATAATATATATATAATAAAACTATAATATATCTTAGATTATATTCTCTATAATATATATAATATAATAATATATATTATATAATTATATATATATAATATAGTAATATATATATTATATATATAATATATACTAATATTATATATTAGTAATATATATATATAGTAATATATACATATATTACTATATATATATAATAATTATTATATAATTATTCTAATTATATAGTAATTAGAATTATATCATAATTATGATTTGAATCCATATTTAATTGTATAATAATTATAATAACATAGTAATTATTATTTTGATCCTTAGGTAATTATATGATAACTATAATTATATAATAATTATAATTATATAATAATTATAATTTTGGTCCTTACATAATTATATAATAATTTTAATTATATCATAATTATAATTATAATATAATCATAATTTGAATCCATATCTAATTGTATAATAATTATAATAACATAGTAATTATTATTTTGATCCTTAGGTAATTATATGATAACTATAATTATATGTTAATTATAATTATATAATAATTCTAATTTTGGTCCTTACATAATTATATAATAATTTTAATTATATCATAATTATAATTATAATATAATCATAATTTGAATCCATATATAATTGTATAATAATCACATAGTAAATATTATTTTGATCCTTAGATAATTATATGATAACTATAATTATATGTTAATTATAATTATATAATAATTCTAATTTTGGTCCTTACATAATTATGTAATAATTCTAATTATATCATAATTATAATTATAATATAATCATAATTTGAATCCATATATAATTGTATAATAATTATAATCACATAGTAATTATTATTTTGAATCTTAGATAATTATATGATAACTATAATTATATAATAATTATAATTATATAATAATTCTAATTTTGGCCCTTACATAATTATATAATAATTCTAATTATATCATATTTATAATTATAATATAATCATAGTTTGAATCATATATAATTGTATGATAATCACATAGTAAATATTATTTTGATCCTTAGATAATTATATAATAATTATAATTATATAATAATTATAATTATATAGTAATTATAACTTGGATCATTAAATAATTATAAAATAATTATAATTTTATAATAATTACAATTTGGTCCTTGTATAATTGTGTAATAATTATAATAATATATAATCATTATAATTTGAATTATGTAATAATAATTATAATAATATAATAATTACAATTTGGATCCTTGTACAATTACATAATAATTATAATTAAATAATAATTTGGGTCCTTACCTAATTATAAAATAATTATAAGAATTCTAATTTTGATCCTTATATAATTACATAGTAATTAAAATTAGATAATAAATAGAATTTGGATCCTTATAATTATACTAAAATAATAATTATAATGATTCTAATTTGGATCATTGCAGAATTATATAATAATTATAATTATATTATAATTATAATAATATAGTAATTATAATTTGTATCCTTATATAATAGTATAATATATATAATTATATAATGATTATAATTAGATAATAATTATAATAATATAGAATTAGAATTTGGATCCTTACATAATTATATGGATCCTTGTATAATTATATAATAATTTTAATTATAAAATAATTCCCGCCCCATTCCCGCCCCATTCCCGCCCCCATTCCCGGCTCACCGCGGATGACGGAGATGTTCCTCAGGGCCACCGCGTGCTCCCAGTGGCGGATCCGCAGCTCCTCCGTGACGTTGCTCAGCATTCCCAGCTCCAGCCTCAGCCTCCCCTCCAGCTCCTCCCGCCCCCTCCTCGCCCTCCTCGCCTCTTCCGTCACATTCCCGACGATCCCGCCCAGATCCCGGAGCCGGGAACGCTGCAGTTCCAGCTCGTAGGAGAAGCTCCTGTTCATGGAATCCACGGACCCGCCCAGGAGATCCAGCTGCTCTCCCAAGGCCTCCGTCCTCCCTCCCAGGCGTTCCAGGAGTCGGGAATGATGCTCCAGGAGCAGCCGGGAGCCGTTCCCGGCCACGGAAAGCCGGGAGAGCTCCTGTTGGGAAGCGTCTCCCTGCCGGCTCAGGGAATCCCGGAGCGCGGCCACGGCCACGTCCGTCTGTCCCGCCCGGCTCTGGAGCAGCTCCAGGAGCTCCTGGAGCCTCTGGAGCGTCGCTCCCGCCCGGAGCAGGGAATCCGAGTGGTTCTGGAGGAGGTCCTGGAGCCTCCAGACGTGATCCAGGATTTCCCCCCGGGCCGGGAGCAGCAGGAGCTGGAGCTGGAGGTCCCGGAAGGTCTCGTTGAGGCGTTGGACGTTCCCGAGGAGAGCCCGGAGCTCCTCCGGGGACGGATGAGGGCGGGATGCTGGGAATGGGAAAGGTGGGAGAGGGGTGGGAGTGGCGGGAGTGGCCCCGTGGATGGGGGGGATTCATTCCATCCTATCCCATCCCATCCCATCCCATCCCATCCCATCCCATCCCATCCCATCCCATCCCTTCCCATCCCATCCCTTCCCATCCCACCCCATCCCATCTTATCCCATCCCACCCCATCCCATCCCATCCCATCCCATCCCATCCCATCCCATCCCATCCCTTCCCATCCCATCTTATTCCATCCTGTCCCATCCCATCCCATCCTATCCCATCCCATCTTATTCCATCCCATCAATCCCATCCCATCCCAAGGAATGCCTGGTTTCTCCCACTGGAAATCTCCACCTCAAATCCCAAAAGATTCATTCCATGAGTCCCTGTGGGGGATGAAGGGCTGGAGAACCCCAGAGAAAAACCTTGGAATGGTTTGGGTGGGAAGGGAAGGGAAAGGTGGGAGAGGGGTGGGAATGGTGGGATTCATCCCATCCCATCCCATCCCAAGGAATGCCTGGATTTTCCCGCTGGAAATCTCCACCTCAGATCCCAAAAAAAGGTTCATCCCGCCTTGGGGGGATGAAGGGCTGGAGAATCCCAGAGAAAAACCTTGGAATGGTTTGGGTGGGAAGGGACCTCAGGGCTCATCTCATTCCAAGAGCAGGACCCAATTCCATGGGTAAGATCCCGTTCCAGTCTCTCCAGGAGTGATGGAATCCTTAGGACAGGGGGATGTTTTGATCCCAAGGTACCCTCATCCCGGGAATGCCACAGCCCTGGGGGGGTTTGGGTGGATCCTGGGAATGGTTTGGGTGGGAAGGGACCTCAAAGCTCATCCAGGTCCACCTGGAACAGGGACACTTCCCGCTATCCCAGGGAATCCAACCCGGCCTTGGACACTGCCAGGGATCCAGGGGCAGCCCCAGCTTCTCTGGGAATTCCAGCCCAGCCCCTCCCCACCCTCCCAGCCAGGAATCCCTTCCCAATCTCCCCCCCAAATCTCCCCTTTCCCACTGGGATCCATTCCCTGGGGCCTGGCATTCCAGGCCCTGAGCCCCAGTCCCTCTCCAGCTCTCCTGGAGCCCCTTCAGCCTCTGGAATGTGCTCCAAGCTCTCCCGGGATCCTTCCCAAATCCAGCCTGGCCATTCCCAGCTCTCCCAGCCTGGAGCCAGAGCCTGCCATTGGATCCAGCCCCAGCCCAGCTCCTCCCTGGGAAGGAGTTCCGGGAACAAGGGGGTTCCCTGGGAATCTCGGCACTCAGGGCAGGGTCTCCCTTCCCCTTTCCCGCCTTTTCCATCCCCACATTCCAGAAAAACCCCTCTGACTGGATCCGGAGTGTCCTTTATCCTGGAATCCTGGAATGGTTTGGGTGGGAAGGGATTTTAAAGCTCATCCCATTCCATGTTCAGGGACACCTCCCGCTATCCCAGGGAATCCACCCCATCCTTGGACACTTCCAGGGACACTTCCAGGCATCTCCCGGCTCGGGAAGGACCCCCCCAACCCCGGGATTCTCCCGGTGGATCCCGATGTTCCGGAGCTCTGCCCTGACCGGGAAGAGCCTCCTCCTTCCCTTCCCTTCCTCCCGACGGATCCGACCCCGGCTCCTTCCCACACAAGGTTTCCATTCCAACGTTTACACTCCGCTTTCACCCTCTGGAAGCGGCTCCTGGATCCGAGCCCGGAATCAGCCCTGGGTGGGGTTTGCTCCCGGCATCCAAGAATCACATCCCGCTTTTCCAGGGCTGCCAGGGCTCTTCCCAAGGGAAAGACCCAGCCCAGCCCCGGATAATCCACATCCAAGGGCTCTTCCCAAGGGAAAGACCCAGCCCAGCCCCGGATAATCCACATCCAAGGGCTCATCCCGAGGGAAAACCCAGCCCAGCTC